GAACCAGATCTGAACAAAAAAAGATTAGAGGATATAAAAAACTGGATCCTACTAGTTATATAAAATCAGGTTTAATTTTTTTCTGGGTCCACCACTAATTTCTGAATTTCAAAAACCCAATCAAACCGGAATATCCTAACTAAAATCAACTCGCTAATTACGCTTTTAAGAGGTCATTTTAAGTCTCTTCACCTAGAAACTGCTCTAGTAGCACAAATTGCCTTAGAGTGTTAAACAATTTGTAAGTGTCTTAGGGTGTAAATGACTCAAAACAGAGTGGGTAAGTTTTAGAACCGATCCTCAGATTTCGGGGTCTTATTCGAGCTAAAAATAACATTATTTTTAATTATTTTTGTTATTAAGTTAACTATTTTAAATTAATATTTTAATAAATTAGAAAAAATATTCTATAATATGTTGATTTATACAACCGGTTTGAATTTTTGAATCCCTAAGTAGTTCAAAATAATATATTTATTATAATAGAAAGATACAAAAATTTAAAGAAAATTTTAAATTATAAATTTAATTGACATAAGATAATAGTCTATTTTTTAATTATAATATTATAGAACTAATTTAGAATTTATATTTATTTCTATAATAATTTTTATCTTCTAAAAATACATTTACCATTTAATATATGTTTATATTATGTAAATAAAAAAGGGGTTCCACAAACTGGGACCCATGCAAATGTTTTGTGAGTCTATCCATATGATTAGTTTGGTAAGAACACCCTAATGGGAGAACTCCACTTAAAGTATTTAATCTCAAAAAGTATTGTTAGTTTTAATAAGTTTTTAGTTAACCAATTATTTTTTACTTTTAACAAAAAATAAACCACTAATAAATAGACATGTGGGCTGAAATTCATATGGACAATATCTATGAGAATGTTGTTTCAGATATTTCTACCGCTCTCTCCAATACTTTTGTTTTTTTAATACTAGGGTTGGCCCGGGCTATGCCGAGATTTTTGTTTAATTTTAATTATAATTATATAATTTGTATGTTTATTCAACTATAAATATTATTATCTATTAGAAAATATAAATAGCTAGGTAATTATAAAATTAGACATTTCCTATGTTTTGAATTTTCTAGATCATTTTGGTGTTGGAGTGTGTTATATATTTCTCACATAACCGTGGGCGCCTTAGAACATTCTATAAGACTTGTTCTTTCATACGTGCCATTGGTGAATGGTAAGCATCAAGCTATGACTCCTAGTTATCATTCCTTAGGTATGGTAATTGTGGGCATCACACATTCAGCTGAAGCTTTCTTGTCCATGTGTTTGGAGAGCAAAACGTGTGTGAGTGGCTAAGTTGAAGATTTCTAATCATAATGTATTCATTTATTTCCATGCTTTATCGTCAATCTTCTTCCATAACTTCTCATGGTAAATTTCAACTTTGTGATTATTGTTATTAATGTCATTTTGTTTTTCAACCAGAAGCTAGAGAAGATCAAAGTTGCTATAATCACAGTAGACAACTCGAAGAACTTTTTGACAAAATGTGCGACTTAACTGTAAGAGGTAACTCGAGAAACTCTCTGGTTTTTAATAACATGATCATAACTGCAGAGGGACTCTTTCTAAAGCCATCGCCGGAGCTTTAGATTGGCAGATAAACCAGAAAAATGAAACCAAGCCAGCGCAAGCTCTGCTCCTCTGCAAGACATGTCTCTTATACAAGCGAATTTTAAACTACAAACGGATGCTGCTTGGTGTGGAAGATCAAAATTTGCAGGTCTTGGCTCCTATCTTCTCCAGAGAGAGCTTAGCCCTCCTGAAAAACCCTCAGCTGCTTCTCTGCAGCATTATTAACGATTTTGATATGGAAGTCAAAAGCTTGGAAATTTCTAACACGAACCGGATGTTCAACGACATATATACAACAATCTGTGATACCATTTTTATACCTGCCCCTTATTCATCTAATTCTGAGTTTTATTATGTCAACTAATGATTTTGTTTTACAGAATTACAGAAATTCCTTCTTATAACATTCTTTTTCTTTTACCTGGAAGAGAATGTCTTATTAGCTTCCAGTAAGGCTTTTAACTATCGTCTTTGAAAAAACCCAACAATGACATATTGTTTATTGACACTGGGATCAGATTTTTTTTGAGCCAAATCAATGTTTTCCACCGATTGGTATCAGAGAAAGATAGAACACTAAGAATATCATAGCTCTCAAACCCATATAGATTCTACTTGCACCATATACTTTAGAACATAGCGATTCCATTCACTATATAAATCCAAATCTAGTGAAGTAGATTAAAGACCCTCTTCATATAAAAAAAGAAGTAGCGACCCAAGATCTATATTCAAGTTGGTTTTAACAATCACCAATCTAATTGCAAAGTTAAAGTATGGTGAGCTAAAAATTTATGACATTTGATAATTGATACAAAAACAACAAAAAACAGAAAAAGACACTGACATGTTTTTGCTCAGCAAATGTTTGAGTCTCTATCTCTAAGAACATGTCGAAGTTTCTAATAAAACCATTTAAAAAATTTATAGAGTAGATTTCTTACATTAACTTCCACCATGAGCATGTCAACCCACATCAGTTCACCACTACTCCTGGGATTCCACACGCCGTGGAGAGATTTGCGATCGCAGCTGATCTGACAAAAGAACTTAAATCTCAGCCATCACGGGTGAAGGACATGCTGATGGAAAAAAAAAGTGAGAGAGATGAGATGAGGATCCGAGGCAGTAGGAAGATGAAGAACAGAGACTGAATCTTTGTTGCTTTCATGGATTGAGAGGGTGATGTGTAATGAAAGAAGGCTAATCTTTTAATAGGTGTATATACACCCCTTGTAGAAACATAACTCGCATTCAATGTCCGATCGTGTTGACGTCGGTCTATAAGAATTAGGTTGATTAGGAAATAAGACTAAACGACGCGATTGAAGACCAACAAAGATATTTAAGTCAAGTCAATCTCTGGAACTCCATTGATAGTCAGAAAGAATGCAGAAGATTATGTTTTGGTTTGAGACATCGTAAATAACCCTTTTTTTTTAATTGGAATGCTAAGAGCCCTAATTTCCTAATTTCGTAGTGTAGTTACGAAGAAGAAAGAGGTCTCACGTTATTGAACTCACAAATTCTTCAGTAAAACAGCAAGCCCACATAAAATTAAGTTTCCAGAGAAACAAAATGCATCGTACCAATATATGTGCACACATGTCACATCTAGAGAGTTTGAATTGATGATGTGGCACTCTTAAAAAAGGGAAAACCCTTCTTTATAGTAATATATTACTTTTTATATTAGATATTTGGCTAATAACCTCTGTTGGAAAAGCTTTAAAAACATGCGTATTGGGAATTTCTTACCCAATCTTTGTTGATTAGATAAAAAAAAGAATAAAGAGATGAGAGAGAAGAAGAAAGTGAGACAAAAGAGGAGAAACGTAGGTTCTCAAGGAAACGTTGGCAAAAATGAAAAGAGATTTTCTACACTTGTCATTTAGTGATTGACTAGAATTTACTTTTTATTAAAATTTATTAAACTAATTTATATTATTAATAAGTGATAAAGAACTATTGGAATAAATTCATTGATGATGCTCTAAGGTCATCCACAACGGTAATCTTTCTATAAGTATCTTAACATTAAAATATTAAAAACAAATAAAAAATTAGAAAGATATGAGAGATGTTTTCTCGTGAAAAATCTCAAAAAATTTTGCTAGGTATTTTTTCATACCTGTCATTTTATGATTGGCTCAATTCTTTTTTATAATTTCATTTTTAATTTTTAACTAAATGAAACTAAAACTATTAATATTATATTAGTAGGTACTATAAGCTGGTACTTCACCACTAATGATGTTCCAAATGATTATTTTCTAAATTAAACACACCAAATTTGAGAACTTTGATGGTCGAGTATTCCAAGTTCCTATACTACTGTGATTTGACAACTCGTGATGGGAAAGTGTAACGTTAAGTACGTGTCCATGCTTCTTTACTTTTCTGAACGTTTACCATTATTGCAAAATAAAATGTACTAAAATCCAAATAAGTTACAATTAAATGATTAATTCATCTATTTGTAAAGAAAAAGAATCATAAGAGCAGCATTATTGGGGTTTCCAAAAAGGGTTTCTCTCAACAAAGCAACGCATGGGTCCCATTAAAACATAAAACCAGTCTTCAAAAGCGTGATTTCAGGCTCGTTTGCTGTGGGTTGGTAACACTGTTTGTGGACCCCATTGATATGTAGCGGCTCGCGACTGGTTATTTTTATTTTGTTTTCTTTTTTTTTTAAGCAGAGAAATTTATTTTAAAGAAACCCAAAGTGGAGGTTTAGAGATAAAGATGCTCTAAGAGTCAAGCTCTTGGAGCCTACCATCAACTTGTCCACGGTTATTCGGTTATCTTAAACTCTTTCTATAGTTATTTTCTTGGTAACAATTTCACAAGAAAATTTCTGGAGCAAGAACAGAGAGGAAGAAAAAATCTGGAGCTTCTACAACATCTCGCACCAGAAAGTCAAGAAAGATCATCTCCTGGTAATAAAATCTTACTTTTATCTTCATTAAGCTCTTGTTTATTACTGGTATACTAACTTAAAATTTAGGGAATATGTTGTATGTTCTATGACCATTTACTTATGCATTTTAAAGTAGATACTATGATCTTGGTTAAAACAAGAATATTTTTTTCTTTCACTCACCTGAAAAAATGTATCCGATAATCTTCACAAAAAAAATCAACCAAATGAATAATTGTCTATCTGTGTTAATTTAGCCCAAAAAAAAGTGTTTAGGTCATTCTAGGCATTCCAAATGTTGTTAACAATCTTGCTTCCTCGATAATGCAAACATCTTGAAGACGATTCTCCTCGTATTGTTCCTCAAATCTTTGTCATGGGTTTATCAACAATCACTCCAACCACCACCCCTGATAACCGTCGGATCGGCCGGCGGAGCCACCGTGACATCGCTGAGGATTAAGCTGAGAGATGGAAGACACTTGGCTTACAAGGAATTTGGATACCCTAGAGACAAAGCCAAGTTCAAGATCATATACATCCACGGCTTGGATTCTTGTATGCTCGACTCGCCTTTCCCTGAGTTCTTATCTCCGGTATGCTTCCCGCCAAAACCCTTATCATCCATAGCTGTGAAGGCAATAATATAATGAATTTTAAAAACTGTATCTTTGTGGATAAACTTAGGCTCTTGTGGAGTAATTGAGGATATACACTGTGTCTTTCGACCGTCCTAGTTATGGAGAGAGTGATCCTGACCCGAACCGATCACCGAGAAGGATAACTCTGGATATAGAAGAGCTCGCTGATGGGTTAGGACTAGGACCTAACTTCTAAGTCGTTGGTTTCTCCATAGGTGGTAAATTCACCTGGGCATGCCTTAGTATATTCCTCACAGGTTACTTTCGTTAAGAGTGTCTTGTGTATGATTACATTTATGACATGTGTTTGAAGGGTGGTTGTTGAGCCCAAATATGGCCCGTTAGGTGAAATTAGCGGATCGATTAAATTAAGCCTAATAATGGGCCACGCGTGAATTGTCACTTCAAAGGAGAACGGAGCTCACCTAAGGACGGAGGCTACTTCTAAGGATTTCGACGAAAGAGGTCACGAAAAAGAGGTCACGAAGAAGAGGTCCGGCTTCTCTTTCAGGAACCTAACAAAAACAGCCCAGGATATGAAGTAAGAGGCATATGATTCGGTCAAAAGGAAGCTGTTGCAGATCCCTGAATTTACGGAAGTAATCTTGGAGACTAATCAGGAGAGGTTAAACGTGACATGAGGCTATTTAAAGGAAGGATAGATGAAGAGAAAGGGGATTGACACTTTTTACGAATTTTCACATACATTATCACTCACAAATCATTCAGTGATTTCTTTGTATTCATTTGAATCATCTTTGTAACCCTTATTCATCAAATACAATCATATTCATTCTTTCAGTTCTAACAGGATTCAGCCCACGATTGTCTTTTCCCCAATCTAAACCTAACCTAAACTAGAGAGTGAGTTTTACCCCTCACATTTTGGCGCCGACTGTGGGGACAGAGATAATTGAATCCTTCACTCCGTAAATTGAGAATGGATCCATCCAACCAGGCAACGAGCCCATCCAACCCTGATCCCGTGATCCAGATCGACGGCTCACCGAATAGGAGAGACCCGGATCCCCAAAATCCGGAACCTCGATCCATCGATCACCGATCCGAGCAACAGCCACCGGCTAATGCTCAATCGAACCAAACTGGAATAACTAACCCAAGATCTTCCAGTGGAAACAACTCGGGGGTTACACACCCCGAAAACCCTCAGCGTCAACCTGCTCCGAATCATTCGGAAGCTCAGCTATCCGAGATGCGTCGAATGATGGTGAAATTGGTAGAAAGAGCTCAGGATAATGAGCGCATGTTGCAACAGCTAACTGCTCGACAGCAACGGTTCGAAGAAGTGACTAGAACTCTAACCGAGACGACTCATCTGTCGCAACGTCAAGGATTGGGAGTCACCTTCCGAGACCGACTGACTGAATCCACTTTCCCTCGCGGACGCCTGGATTTTTCCCCAAACAGCACTGCTCATGATGGGCAAGAACTTGTTCTCCGGACACCTCATACTGGGACAACCCCAGCATTCAGTGCACCTGTAACTAGCGCTATGGGAAGTAACGTAGCAACAACAAGCTCTGCACCCAATAGGGTTCCCGAACAGAGCACACGATTACTGCCTCCGCTACCTGTTTTTAGGTCCGGAGAAGGAATATCTTTCCCTCCTAGGGGAAGAGCACCAGCCTCAGCTTACCAAAATGGGAGCGCGATCCCAAATCTAGACAGCCATCAGAGGACAGAAGCTGATCCTACAGCTCACCCCCTGGTCGCGTCCCTCAGCGTGGCCCTAGAGCTAGCGAGCGATTTAGCCCACCTAATGCTTGGGAGAACGACCACGCTCGACTCCGTCAAGAATCTCCTCATCAGATTCATCATGAAAACCCAACCGTCCTTCCCCTAGAAGGACCTGAGGCTATTCGCCGATACATGGAGCAAACTCACGCAGCTCTCCAAAAGTTGAATGCTCAAGTATACAAAGCAACAAGCTCAGCTCCCGAAATCGAGAGCTTGATTGAGGAAACCCGTGGAACCCCATTCACAAACAAAATCGCTAGCTCTTACATAAGAGATACCCGAAAGATTAGGATCCCCGAATATGATGGGACCTCAGACCCTAAGGCTCATTTGAGAGCCTTTCCGATTAGCTATAGTGAAAGCTCACTTCACAAGAGAAGAATGCGAAGCAGGTTATTGCAGAACCTTTGCTGAGAACCTGGTCGGAACAGCTCAAAAATGGTTTTCAAGCCTCGAGCCGAACTCAATAGATAACTTGACCAGCTCACCAACGCCTTCATGAAGCAATACTCAACCCATATCATCAAGCAAGCTTCCAAGGCCGACCTCTGGAAAATCAGGCAAGGAATGGGAAATTCGTTACGAATCTATATCGAAAAATTCAGAGCAGTCAGAACTAAGCTCTCGAATCCCAACGATCATGTTGCCATCGAAGCCCTCAGAAGAGTTCTCTGGTACAAATCAGAATTCTGGTCCGAGCTAACGCTTAATCCTCCCCCAACTATTGATGATGCCCTTCACAAAGCATCGAGATATATTACCTTGGAAGAGGAAACAGCTGCACTGGATAAAATCCATAAGAAATCCCAGAGTCACCCGAAAGGTGAAACCTCGGAAGCAAAAGGATCCTCTAGAAAAGGGAGCTCCCGGAATAACCAGACCCAGGGAGAACATTCTTATGCTGTCGAGGAAGTCCAACAGGAGAAACCTGTTGCCGCGATAAGCAAAACCCCCTGGTCAAAATGCTACGATGAGAACAAACACTGCTCTTACCACGATCGAAAAGGGCTCTCAACTGAGGAATGTTAGGACCTCCAACGACAGTTGGGAGCTAAATTCGTAGCTGGAGAACTAAAGGACGTGGAACTCAAAAAACCACCTCCTTACCAGAAAAGAGGTCCCAGAGACACCTCTCCAAAACGTGAAAGATCACCTGAGAAGGAAACAGACTCGCCACCGCCAGCTCCCAAGAAAAGAGTTGACATGATTCTTGGAAATTTCCCCAAGGGAAAAGTCTACAAATCGAGACCCTCCTAAGCAAACCAACACCTCAGTCGAGCCCAGTCCGAGGGTGGATTATATCCTCGGAGGCTCCGATATATGTCAAGACTCCGTTAATTCAATCAAGATTCATGTACGGAAGGCTGTATCTAATGCTCAATCTAAGCCTCCCAATCCCAAATCCAACACTAAGATTTCTTTCTGGGAGAGCGAGACATCAGATCTCGACAGACCTCACGATGATGCCTTAATTGTCACCCTGAACATAGCAGGTTACGAGGTGCCTAAGCTGATGGTTGACACCGGAAGCTCGGTCGATCTTATCTACTATAACGCCCTGAAGGGATGGAAATAGATGACTACGAGATTATTGGTCAAAAAGCTAACCTTGTAGGCTTCTCCGGGGAAACAGTCACCTCCTTGGGAACCATCAAGCTCCCAGTCATAGCTGGAGGAATCATGAAAATGTAGTCATCGATAGACCCTCTCCATTTCATGCGATCCTAGGAAGACACTGGATTCATAAGATGAAAGCAGTAGCCTCCACTTATCACCAATGTGTGAAATTTCCAACACCTGACGGAATAACCACCGTACGAGGTAGCTAGAAGATCTCCAGGATATGTTATTTGGGAGGATTCGGAATCCTCAAGGAATCACCCCAATAGCAATTACAGATCCAGGAAGGTCGAGAGATGCAACAGAATATTAGAGGTCCCCCTAGGAACCTAACCAAACGAGTTAGCATCGACGACTCTGACCCCGAGAAACAAGTGAACATCGGATCAGAGCTACCTCTCGAAACTAAAAAGGAGTTAATCGACATCCTGAAAAGCAACGTCAAAACGTTTGCATGGACCACCAGCGACATGAAGGGTATAGACCCAAACGTCACCACTCACAAGCTCAATGTAGATCATACTTTCAAACCGATCAAACAAAAATGCCGTAAGCTAGGCCTCGAAAAAGCCCAAGCCGTCAACGACGAAGTAGATCGACTCACGAAAGCAGGGTCCATCCGAGAAGTACAGTGCCCCGATTGGCTGGCTAATCCCGTAGTAGTAAAAAAGAAAAAAAGGGAAGTGGAGAATCTGCGTAGATTTCACCTACCTAAACAAAGCTTGCCCTAAAGATAGCTTCCCGTTACCTCACATCGATCGCCTCGTTGAGGCGACTGCTGGCCATCAGCTCTTGTCTTTTATGGATGCCTTCTCAGGATATAATCAAATCATGATGAACCCTGAAGATCAAGAAAAAACTGCGTTCATTACCGAACGCGGGACCTACTGTTACAAGGTAATGTCATTCGGATTAAAAAACGCGGGAGCTACCTACCAAAGCCTTGTGAACAAAATGTTCGCCGGAAAGCTCGGAAAAACCATGGAGGTATACATCGACGATATGCTGGTTAAGTCCTCAGCTGGAGAAAATCACATCTCCCACCTGAGAGAATGCTTTGATATCCTCAACAAATACGATCTGAAATTAACCCCTCAAAATGCACCTTCGGAGTGCCCTCGAGCGAATTTCTCGGTTACCTCGTAACCGAGAGAGGTATCGAAGCCAACCCGAAACAGATAGCGACCTTCCTGGAAATGCAATCACCTAAGACAACCAGGGAGGTACAAAGACTGACTGGACGAATCCCCGCTTTGAACCGATTTATATCCAAGTCCACCGATAAATGCCTCCCGTTCTATAAACTTCTAAAAAATAATAAGAAGTCTCTATGGGACGAGAAATGCGAGGAAGCCTTCAAACAATTAAAAGCTTACCTCTCTGAGCCTCCGATCCTATCCAAACCAGTAACAGGAGAACCCCTGTACCTATACCTCGCCGTATCGACTGCTGCAGTTAGCGGCGTGCTGGTACGAGAGGAGCAAAACGAGCAAAGACCTGTCTATTACACAAGCAAAAGCCTAATAGACGCCGAGACCAGATACCCTACCATGGAAAAGTTAGCTCTGGCAGTCGTAAGAGCTGCCAGAAATCTACGACCCTACTTCCAATCACACTCGATTGTGGTAATGACCTCACAGCCAATACGCACGATTATGCACACCCCTAGTCAATCAGGACAATTGGCTAAGTGGGCCATAGAGCTCAGTGAATACGACATCGAGTATAGACCCCGAGCAGCCATAAAAGCTCAGGTCCTCGCCGATTTCATCATCGTGCTATCGTCTGAGCAACTAGATCCGAGAGATGAAGCTCCAG